AAAAAAAAAAAAAAAAAAAAAAAAAACATTTGAGATAGTAAATTTGTACAGCAACTAGAGATAGAAATTTTTTTGCCTGCAAGCAAGAAAATCAAAAGTGTAATCGTTCACCTTTCGTTTCGGTTAAGCCTTGCTCCAAGATAGAAAGCCACAGAAAGCAACCAGGAATCACTATGTACAGCAACTAGAGATAACCAATCTTTTCTGTTCATGCCATCCCTAGCAAAATTAATTCCAAGTGCAGGCTCAGGAAGCTCCGGTGGAACCTCTTCTACTGGAAGAACCACTTCCCATGTCTCATTGGGATGTCCATAAAGGCACAAATTTTCCTTATCTGAAAAGGTAGAAATCAAAGCGAAAAATATATGAGAAGCATCATAAAATGATAGTAAATCTCTGCTCTCAGAGAAGAAATTAAATTAATAGAAAACCAATCAACACATTATGGTATGCAACAGTCACTGGTTAATTGAGATACCGTAAGTGTACGAAAAAACAATTCCAGGATCTGGAAGCAAGGATCAAGATCACAAAAAATAAATTTCGAATTCAAGGAACAAGTGTCCAATCTGAAGCAGTTGCCAACAATAAGTCATTAAACGAAATTAGAAAATAATATCTCAACTCATCATGCATCAATGGCTCGTTAAATTCACCAGCAGCAAGAAAATCCACATTCGACGAAACAGTAAACATCGTACAAAAATCATATACAAACAAACTCCGCATAATTTGCAATTACGAATCACCTGGATCACAGAGGCCGTAGAATTCATCCACATCTGACAACAAGAAGAAAAAGAAAAGGAAAATCAGTGATCTCCGAGGGAAAAAGAGTAAAACAAAGAAGAGAAAATTGAGAGGGAGATAAGACCGTGAGCGAGGGCTCGAACAAGAGCGGCGCGGCGACCGCTATAGTCTTTGAAAATTTCCTCGACGGTTTTGGGAGTGGTGGAGGCCATTTCCATGGCGGAATGGAGATCTGAGAGCAGAAAGTGAAATCGGAAGTCACATGAAGAAATGGAAATTGGGAGAGAGATAGGGAATGAATGGAGGAAGGACTAATGCATGAGTTTGGGAAGGAAGAGCGCGGGACATAGAAGAACCGGAGGTTGGAATGTAAATTGACGCTAACGAATATTACTATTGCCACTCCAAAAATTTATTTCCCAACCACTCTTTTTTTTTTCTTTTGTCCTTTTCTCTTCCTTTTTTTTTTTAGCTTAACAAATATTGTATTTTTTTTGGGTTAAAATTTATTAGTCATTTTTTCGTTTTATAGAACTAATCAGTAAATTTAAAATTTATTACATAATTAAATGTTTTAAGGTAAAAGTGTATAAATATAACAAATAATATACGTTTAATACAAACCTTCTTTCTTTATTATTTGGGATCGTCTGTTTTTCCTTTCCCCCTTTATTTTCGCATTTTCCTTGAATTTGTGGCGGCTTCGCATTCATCCAAAACTGCTGAAATATCCCAGCAAAAGGAAAGTAGGATTTTAGAACGTGGGTCGAAATGAGCCCGCCCCTAACGGGTAACTGTCCATGTCCACCGCTAATAGATATTATCTACTCTAATCCATTGCGTATAGTCAGTTCCACAATTTTAAAATGTGTCTACTATGAAGAAGGTCTAGCCCTATTCCGACCATTGTCTCGCGCCATTCGAGGACAAACTCTGATACCATTTGTAATTGCTCAAGCTTACCGCTTGCGGATATTGTCCGCTTTAGCCCATTATATATGTCATCAACCTCAGGAGAGAATTCCCCCTTCAACCAGACATGGAGTCTCGCATGGGTAAAATGAAAAAAATGAAAGATTAAGCAAATCTTAATTGAGCTGTCACACAAGGAAATTATAGACCAAAACTGAACATGAATGATCACTATAATGCCCAACAATGAACATTCCAATTGATTTTTATTTTCTAGGCACCTAGAGTGTATGGCCAAGACCTCAAAATTTCAATCTTGTATATAATAGGTAATTAAAATTCAGAATTCTCAAAATTTTATTTATTTATTTATTAGATATAAAATTAAATTTTTATGTGGATAATAGGTAAATATTTAAAAATCTCTACAAATAAAAGTTAGAGAATGAGATAGAGGCAAGTTATACAAATGTTTTAAAATTAAATATAAGAAGGAAAACAAAAGCAGTCCAATAGAAGACAAGAATCAGAACAAATGATGCAGCTTCTTCCACGTCATGAATGCCTACATCTACTAAATGACAAGGAAGCGATGTGCGTTAGTGGGTGGTTGGGTGGGGGGGCCTTATAGGAGACATGTAAGTATATTACAGGTTTCCAGCTACACCACACCACCCACCACCACCAGACATGACAATTGCACTAGTGAAGAAATCGAACATTCATTCAATTTCAAGCTCCTAAACCACCGTCATTCATTTATTAAACCCAACAGAGCAAGAATTTACTTCTCTTCTCAGATTACCTATAGCAAGGAAAGGAAATAATATATACGACGATTGATAGTAGAATGAGTTAGTTACCATCTTTCATGAAGATGTTAATAACTCATGGATGCCCATTCTTTGCTCTGAAGTCAGTTCCACCGGGAACTTCACGTTGAACTTGATTCTCAAATTCCCATGCCTCGGAGCTTCCTTGGGAATTGGCATTCCTTCTCCGATCACGACTTCTTCATAAGTCGGCCCAACGATTGAATCGATCGGAATCGTTAGATTCCGTCCATCAAGAGTTGTTAGATGCACAGTGTACCCTGTTAGAGCTTCAACCAGAGAGATATCTTGGGTGATAATAAGATCGTTGCCATCCCTTTTGAAAACTCTATGAGGTATCTCATCAAGGGTAAGAACAAGGTCCGAGGGTACAACTCTTGGTTGCTGATCTCCTAATTCTGGAAAGGTAAGTTTAGTTCCCTTCTTCCATCCAGGCTTGATGTCTACTGTCAAGATTTTCTCCACTGTAGTAGGTCTCCTGTACATAATAGCATCATAAGGTTATAAAAAACACACAAATTTATAACTATGAACATTGAAACCTCCTCCCCAATTGATACAAAGAGAGTTGACCAAGTTCACACCAATAGGTCTCAAGACAAGAATATATGAGCCCACGAGGAATTTCAGACTTTTCCCAATCCCAAATGCTTCTTTCGTTTTTCACATTTCAAAATGTCCAAAGAACAATGGGGGCTTAAGCCAGTAGGCCATGTAGATTTCAAAGAGAAGCCAGGTTTAAATTGAGGAAAGGAGCTTAGCTTGCTTTCTGACCTCCAAGGAGAAAGCAAAGAATGTTGTTTGTGCTTAACCAAATTTCCATGAAAATTATGAACTGCGGGGCCAAATTCAAGTGAAAATGAAGATTATCCTGAATCTCTACTTCAGCTTTGCAAATGATAGAGCACTGGGAGAGACAGGTTAGCATATGTTGGATACTATACCTGGGGTTGTTTTTACTCCCATCAGAAGCTCCCACGTGAAATTTTTTTAACTTTCTCGGAGATCTTTCCAAACCCATTTGCACAAGATATGACAAAAATTTCAGACGTTCTTGGAAATATCAAAGAGGAAATGTTTGCAAGGAAAGATAAAACATTAGAAGAGACATCAATTTTCATTTTAGGCGAGTAATTCTGTTTTTATCCAATGAATAGAAGGAAGTTATGCATGCAAAGTTCTCATATAGATTAACAAGTATAGAAGCCTAATCACGAGAAAACAGATACAGCATCACAAAAAGTCGATCAACATTTCAGAAAATATCAGATTCAGGAATTGGGTTTAATTAGATTACAAATAAATGAGAGATCCTAAAAGTCTAACTGAGTAAATCTGTAGAGACTAACCCCATATTATCCAAGGCATCCTTAGCAATCTTCATCTTCTTCACACAGCCCATGAAGAGATCTTCTAAACTACACAGCAGAGTTTTCTCTATTGCAGCACCCTTCCTCATATAACTAGAGGCCCCACCAGCCCCATGTCTTAAGGAAGCAGATATATTATCACCAAACAAACCCCTCGGAAATCCATAAGCAGCAGCACGAGGGTCACTCATGTGGCTCATCCCTTCTAAGGGGCTCGGAAAACCGAACAATTCCGAAAATAAATCATTGGCACTTCTCGAGTTACGGCAAAACTTAGTCGACGAACCATGGCTAGTATAGCTACTGCAAGAACCATTTGGCAATGGCGTTTGCCCCTTCAAATACTCCTCTCCTAACTGATCATACACAACTCGTCTTTGAGGATCACTCAAAACCTAAGTAGCAACAGAAACGATTCAATTATGCATCTACGCACAGGCTAACATTAAATGGGATCGTGGAATAAAATTCAGATCAATGCGAAATTTGAATAAAAAAAATTCGAGTGGATTGTTACACTGCATATCAGAAGAATCGCGTATCTTACATCATAAGCCTCCGAAATGTTCTTGAATTTGGCTTCGGCGTCCCTTTTGTTGTTAGGGTTCTTATCTGGATGCCACTTCATGGCGAGCATTCTGTACGCTTTCTTCAAGTCATCGTCGTTGGCATTGCGATCCACCTGAAGAATTTTGTAGTAATTAACGCCCATCGTTCCGTCGTCTGGCCAGGAGTTGCAAAGACCTTGAACACAAATTGGACTGTTTACACTTATATAGTGAGTAAAATATATAAGATAGTCCAATTTTTTTTGTAGTTTTAAATTATGACGCTATAATTTGAAAGATTCAATTTTATTCTCCAATTATAGAATTTGATAAAATAAAAATGTCACTATTATTAATATAAAAAAAATAATAATAACAACTCAATTAAGAGCTTAGATAAATTATTTAAAGAAGAAAAAATATCAATAAATTGGAATAAAAGGATGAATATTAATTAAGTTGTTTTAAGAAAGGAAGAGTAAGAAGCAGGCGTTCAAGGCGAGCCATGGCGGCAAAATGGAGGTCTGCGCGCCCTGCAAGTTTGGCGATCTTTGATGGACTGGCTCTCTTTCATTTCTCCTATAATTGTTCAGATCGTGCATGGTGCTCCTTCTTTGGCTTAGGTTTGGTCCTGCGTTGGTGTTAGATTCCCTCTTCTTGCCTCATCTGCGCCCTCTTTCAAGCCCTTGCCCGATGCTGAGCTTCCTCTTCATCAGTTTTCAGCAAAGAAAGTTATCTCTCTCAGTGTTGTGGATGATCGTGGAAGTCAAGGTCTCCCTTGGGAAAAGATTACGGTAACGTGCGTCGTGTCTTCTTCTTTCCTTTTATAATTATGAAGAAATTTTGAGGCTAAATTGATGATTGTGGACATTGTAGAAGTACGATGATGAGGCAATCTTTGTCGTCGAATTCTTAGATGATAGAGCGTCGGTATCGGTATGTGATTTCCTAGTTTAGATGTTATTTTGAATTGAATTCTAAATTCCGTTGGTTATGGACTTCCACCGTATTTCTTTTAGCTATCACTGCTATCTATGTTCGGAGACCTGTTGTTAATAAGGTTGAGATCAAACCAAGGTTAGGTTTATGCATTTGCCATGCTAGTGTTTTAAATACTTCAATTTCTCATTCAGGTGGTTCTTAATTTGGATGAAACCAGGGTTTGTGCATATGAAACATCCAGTTTGCCAGTCGTTTCTGGCATTCAAGCAACAGAAGCTGGATTTAATTGGTCCGAGCTGGAATGTGTATCCTCGGACAAGGTACCTCTGGATTTCTCTTTCTGGCTTACAGTTTTTTGAAACTTTCCTTGAAATTTATATTATTCATCGATTAATGTTGGAAGCTCTGTTGACGGAATGTGAAGGAAAACCAAAGATCAGTTACGTGACCCTATTCGAACGTCCTGGATTGCATGAGTTCTTGAGCCAGGCTATTGATTTTCCGAACGTATATTACTTACTGCTGGTCTTGAAGGTTTGACATTGATTAATCGGTCTCTTTTGTGACTTTCCCCTTGTTATTCCATTGTCATATGTGGTCTTTTGTGGATGTACAGGATATGCTAGACCGCTGGTGACAGAATTACCGGAGGGAAGATTTAGCCTTCTGACTTATCGACCATCAATAGTTAGCATGTAAGTATTTCTTCTAATTAGCAGGAATAATATTTTTAGCGTAAAATAATTTACCTATATTGAGTTCAGTGTCTGAGATTTCTCTTTGCCTGGAGTACAACTCAATTAAGGAAATATTTCCCTTGATGACAGATTTTGTGTAAAGGTTTTGTCCATGATTTTGGCTTTTACTTATCAGAAGATGATCTTGAATTGAAGACTTCATATTTAGATTCTAAATTTGTTGATTCTTGGCAGCATCTTTTCATCCGTTCCCTTCAATGCCATGCTTCGATTCTAAGTTTCTACTTCTGTTCTGGCTGTTCTGGAAATGAAGATTACCAATTCAGAATTTTTAGGGTTCTTTTTTTTTTTTTTTTT